ACTACTACTACTACTACTACTACTACTACTACTACTACTACTACTACTACTACTACAACTACTACTACTACTACTACTACTACTACTACTACTACTACTACTACTACTACTACTACTACTACTACTACTACTACTACTACTACTACTACTACTACTACTACTACTACTACTACTACTACTACTACTACTACTACTACTACTACTACTACTAATTATAATAATAATAACAATAAAGAAGTCAACCTTCCGTTAAAATTGTTATGAATCCATTTAGAATAATAATTAACAAATAATGATTGTTATTAATAATTTTCACAGTTAATTGTTTTGCAATGTAAACCATGATTGATGTAGAATTAGGAAAGTTTTCCATTTAAAATAAAATTATATCGTCAAGGTTATGAATAATAATAAACCGGAAATGAAAAATTTACATAAACTCTATTTCATAGATTTATTTATGTATAATAGGGTAAACGTTGTATTGTTTTGTTTAAATGTAATCAGTATGAAAATTTAATTATTCATATAATACAATCATTATGACTAGTATAAAGTAGAACTAATGAATATAATACATTCCATAGTTTTGTACTATTAATTTCCAAATTTCTCCCAACGTATTGTTCTGCGTAGACTCTTTAGAATATAATGTATCTTTAGGATAGATGCTAACTGTTAAATATTTGTGTTTCATTGAGTAGTGATGAGATATATACTCGTAAGGCAGTCTTAGACATTTTATTGAATAGTACATGGTATACGATTATAGAGATATTAAACTATATTTTGAAAGAAAAAGAAAAACTACATCCTGGGCTCATACTATTCAAAGTACTTTTAAAAATTATAGAATAGTGAACTGTGTATATCAACCATTGATTGCTAACACGGACATGAAAATATTCACATCTTTCATTAAATACATTGCAGCCTAGCGTCATGAGTAGGAGGATAAGATGCAGACATAAAGATGAGGATTGACAAAGCAAGGGTCGCATTCTTACAGATGAAGAACATATGGAACTCAAAACAACTGTCAACCAATATCAAAATCAGAATCCTCAATACGATCGTCAAGACAGTCCTACTATACAGAGCTAAAACTTAGAGAACTACTACAGCTATTATCAAGAAGGTACAAGTATTTATAAACAATTGTCTACCCAAGATACTCAACATCAATTGGCCGGATACCATCAACAACAGCTTTCTGTGGGGAAGAACAAACCAGATTCCATCTGAAGAGGAAATTAGGAAAAGACGATGGAAATGGATAGGACATACATTACGGAAATCACCAGACTGCATCACAAGGCAAGCCTTAACTTGGAATCTTAAAGGGGAGCGTAAAAGTGGAAGGCCAGAGAACACGTTAAGTCGTGAAATAGAATCAGGTATGAAAAGGATGAATAAGAACTGGATTACTTGAGACAGTGTTAAATGGAGAGTGCTGGTGGGTAGCCTATGCTCCTCGACGAGGAGTAACAGGCATAACTAAGTAAGTAGCATTATGAGTCCAGTTTAAGCGATATATCTGTGGGGTTTATAAATTCCTGTCATAAAATATACTGGTTGTTTAAATTCGAGGTTAACTATTCTCTGTTATTAATTAATTGAAGTCTCTGAAAACATTGTATTTATCTACTTAATTGAGTAGCCCAACTTTACAGTAATTAGCAACTGATATTTCGATCCTGTATTACTTTCATAAAATGTTTCGAGTTACGATTTGGCAATCAATTCTTGAACAGTAATTAGGTTGGGTATTTATCAACATTTCAGGTTTCTGTGCAATGATGCATTTATTGCTTTATATCAAATCTTCATTTATATTTCTACATAGTTTGAATAATCTTAATGTATGGCTTACCCTATTAGTCGACCTACTAGGACCAATAATTTTCCCAGTATGGTTTTATGCTGGTTAAAAAATCTCATTTCTATTTATCAGTAGTTCTTTACAGTTTCGAGTTTGGAAGTGTTTTGTGATATTCTTGTCACACTTTAAGATATAATACACCGAGAAGAACTGTTGTATTTATATCTCATAGATACAATCTCGAATGAAGATGGTTGTACAATATCATGAAGTGATTGGGGTTAGACATATAAGTGGTGTGGCAACTCGAACTGATGTACGTTCGTACGAAGTTCTACATTGGGACTGACTGACTGAGACATATAAGCCAATGGCTTTGGACTAGTGCTTCAAAGATTAAGCGGTCTCAGAGAGACTTACAGGTCCTGGGTTCGATAACCAGTTGTACGGTGGATGTGTACAGCCCAGTTTCAAACTAGGATAGTAAAACATACAAATGCGCCCTGATTGTCCATTGTTATCTAACATTTACAAACATCAGTTCAACTTAAAAGTACATACATAGTTAGCTTTGTATCTTACCTATGTATTTAAAACGTCAAGACTCGATTTAAAAATTAGCATCCTGATATCATCTTAGGAAAATGTTTGGCTTAGTTCAAATGAATCAATTACGTCAAGGTATACAACGCGTAATCATACACCACCAAATCATCTATATCCTTAGATTATCAATCATTGAAAAAACTTACACATTATTTACAGTACAATAGGGGCTGATATAGCAGAATAGGTTTTTAAAATACACACATATAACCAAAAATTGAATGCTGAAGTTATTTATTTATGAATAAATAAACATTATCAGTTTGTCACATATTATTAAATGATTCACACTCCCTATTTTCAAAGAACTAAATTGCGAATGAGATCTTTGAAAACCAACTGCTGTATACTTCGCTAATACAGTAATATGATAATAAGAATGGTCTAGTTGGTAGTACCGCTAGATTAGATATTCGAACGGTATACTACATAGAGACTAAATCACGCTATATTAGGTACACGATTCACGAACAAAATAGAGAACCAGATTAAAACCACACAATACTTAATTCCATACTAACACAAGCAATTATTCGGTGAGTCAGTCAGTCGGTAACAACGTGGAACTTCGTACGTACGTACATCAGTTCAAGTTGCCATACCACATTAGCACAGAGATGCGCCCCCAAATGCCCTGGTATGGCCGAGAGTGGGGAGGGACCTCCCTCCCTCTCGAAGTGCTCTCACACGGCCACGCGTACACAGCCTCTGCCAGGGAAGTCTTACTCACTGCCTTCTCATGGCGGGGGTGTTGTTTATGAAAATGAAAGGACGAAAAGCGGATGTCCGGTGCTTTAACCTGATACCAAACCAATGATGCACATGGGAACAAATGGCGTATGAACTAATCGTTGGTCACCGGCTACCATGGGACTGCATCTCCTTACGATGCTCCACTGCCTTACGGGTCAGACCTTTAGGTCAAAGGCTCGGGGTGTGGCCCCCTACGGAAACCACCTGCTTCGGTCTGGGCACCCGGGCAGTATCACAGCCCTCACACAAATCGGATGAACTGTCGATAATTATGAAAAATACTTTTCTTGCTTCGATTAATAATCAAACAATTCACATTATTATTGTTATTATTACTACTATTATTGTTTACTACGTCATTTATTCACTCTCTTTTATTCCCACTCTGTCTATCCTTACTTTTCGACATATACAGCAGCTCGTCTATGGTGGAAATTCGACTGTATCTAAACGTTCTCGAGTCACTGTCGGGTTGAAAATTGTATGCTACCACCGAATACGAATACTGAAGCAGTTTTTCTGAAACCACGTGCGCCATTCAAACTGGTTGCCTTCAACGTTCGCACATTTATGCAGGTTGTACAACAGATAGGGCTGGCTGTCTTTGGAAAGTCTTAATATCGATGTCTGCTGTCTATCCGAGACCCGTATTCAAGACTCTGGTGAAGTACTACAAATTCGCTCTTCATCTGTCGCTTCGAAAAGGTTGTTTTACGTGCGCTTATCCGAGGACCCTGTGGCATCTTCGTCTGATCTTGCTGGCGTTGGTGTCACACTAAGCGCTAGAGCTGAGGCAGCACTAATCGACTGGATCCCCATTAACAGTCGGTTATGTGCTGTTAGATTATTATTATTATTTGTACTAAACGATACGAAAACATTTTGGAAGCAGTAAGTTTTGGTTTATATCTGGAATCACGAGAACTGTAAATATATACTAATACCATGACAACTTTGCCAGTAAATGAATGGATTTTAAAAAGTTGTTCATCCCAGCAGCTAGGTAACCAGCGTTAGTCTAAAACAAAAGTTATTTTAATCGTTGACAAAAACTCAGCTGATAGCTTCTTGCGCTCATTGATACATATACATATTTTTTGTCTACTAACAAGCATCAGAATCCCGATACAGCAGTGATGTTGTAAATTAACAAAAGATCCAGTACTGGTACATAACAATTAAAGGATTTGTCTTCTGATTCTAGTTGTTCAGTGTCGCTATAATGCAATCAAATTACCTAAACCGATTATAAAAATGAAATCTCTGCAACTAAAAACGGACGGCAACAAACTTGTACAGACAGTGTCACTACTCGACCATTGATTGAAGAATGACATTTTCCTTAACTAATAATTACTGGATGTGATTTATTTGTAGTGGAATGAATTCTAGCGTGAATCAACCTTTTAAGGTCTTTGTAATAAAGCCTGAACTTACTTCTAGTTAATAGGTAAGGAAGAAGAGGATAGGGAACAATCGTGTCCATTGTAGTTAAAATCTAATTGATGAGCGCACAAAATTATTAGCAACCCAAGAGTTAATGCCGTGACTCACCTTAAGCATAGTTGGAATACAGCAACTTTTGTATAAAATGTTCGCAATTATGTGTTTTAGTTAACTGGTAGTAAATAAAGGGGGTTTTTTAACATCCGTTGAAGGTGGATTACCGACACAACTATTAATCCCACTAGTTAGTTTAAGCTGTCAATCTGATAACTGAGTGCTACACATGTATGTATACACTTAAATAGTGAGCCATTACTTCTACTTATTAAAATCACACGAGAATATATAAGAAAACACTAAATATAAGGCATGATAGAAATAGAATAACAATTTTATTCAAATATTTCATCTAATTCATCAACTATATGAATTTCTTTTATTCCTTTTTTACGCTTCCGTGTTTCCGTTTTATTATGTGTACGTTCTATGTATTTGCCTTGTTTACTAGACAATAGAGTACTTCGAATCTGAAAAATGAGGAAAACAAAATTGCGTGACGTAAATTTATACTACTGAATAACCAACAGAAGTAGTACAAAAGTGTGATAAAAAAGCGTTTAGACATGAACTCAAGAAATTGGTTTGATTTGATATTCGATTAAGGGTTATAAGGTTATGGAAACCTAAATCGTTATTATTAATTTTTAATAATTATATCAATCAGAGGACCATGAACACAAAAAAGCTCTTAGAAAGGAATATATGAAGATATTTGGGTATCAAAAAGACCCCTATTTAATGAAGATAAATTGTCAGGTCAAAATTATAATTTTTTACCAATATAAAAAAGATCCGTACTAATAGCCAACTCAGACTGCGATTCGATCAGTTGTCAGTATATAGAGGTCCCGAGGCATAATGATATTATCGATTAATCGCAACTCACATATTAAGCATTATACGATTTTCATTAAAGACGTTCAAAATACTTTACATTTTGACAGAGCATTTGTCTGATAGGACCACTTCATCGTTTGTGTACCCTAAGTAGCCTTGAGATGTAGTCGACAAATTGATTTCAGAAACGTTTGAGATAAACAAAGTCACCTCTTTTTTAACACCGAAAAATGTGGACAGAAAAGGCGGTGGCGGAAATCTTTGATAGAGTTGAGTTGTGGTTGAACACGGATATGTCAAACATCCTTCGACTTGAAAAGACTAAGTTTCACAAAATTTAAAGATTGAGATGTTTTATCTATGTGTTAGTGAAACGATGTTGAAGGGGTCATGGTCAGCATGTAAAACCTTGAAGGCAATTGCATAAAGGGTCATAATATCTTTTGCACATTAACGGTAATGATACAACTAAACAGATATAGGGGGACTTAACAACTACCCACTAATAGTGTAGTAAGTCTTTCTGTATATTTAGTGAAATATTCACATATACGTGCATTTTTTCGATTCAGTTAGTAAATGTCTATGAGCAAATGGTACTTTATTTATTTGGCTCACTCATCCAGTACAGATTCATTTAATTGGTTTTGAGTCACACTTTAGATATGAGGGCTAGAGATACTACTAGGCGAGACAATTTGAAGTAGGTGTAGTGCCGAAAGTCAAAAGCACTAACTGCTGGGCCACTTCTCCACCAAATGAGTTTGGATCGTCAAACGCTACTTTCCATCGCTTTACAACTCATATGAAAATGGTTGACTATCTAAATAAGTGGGTTTTGTTCTAAACTTTATCTGTTCAAACTGACACGCGAGCTGCTGAGTACGGATGACAAATCGATTGGTGAGGTGGTGAATCTTTATATTACTAGAATTTAATCAATGATTTCGGTTACTTTATAGACTCCAGATCAGAAGTTCACAACTTACTACACAGTTCAGGCTAATAGTTAATGACTTTACGGAGTGATGCTATGTTACCCCCTTTCCATCGCATTTATGTGATAACATAGCGCGACGAAGTAGACAAGATTTATGCTACAACTGCGACAACAGATGTGGATCAATCTGATGTGAAGCCTAATCAATTCATGTCAACTGAAAAATCTTCTAAATATCAGAAAACCCACTTTGGATACGACCATAAGACAGAAAGATACGCCAAACTACATATATGAGTAAGTTTTACTGGACAAGACAGTCCGTAACTTATGTAATCATTCTGATCATGAAGAGCAGTGAATAATTTATGACGAATGTATCCAAAAAATGTAAAAAAGATCAAATCAAAACAAAGCGTAATTTAAATAACTTACTAAATTAGGAGAAATGTATTTTGGATTAGAATACAGTACTGCACCACAAAAGCTTCCAGAAAATATACGTATTGGATTTAGTGAAAAGCGTGGACCTAAAAAACAATCCTTAGCAATGAGATTTTGGCACATAACTCCTTATCAATTTATTACCCTAACTAAATGAATCATTTGTATCATAGTCTAGGGTACCAGCTATTCATTGTTTTATAAATGACCGTAATGCCCCGAAAATGTAACTTAAGTAGGTGGGGTGAAATATTCCCTAGAGAATTAATATATTATTAGACTCACAATTAGCAAACCATACGCAGCTAACAGCTAAGGAAATCAGCAGTCGTAATCTATACTAGGTATGTATGGTGAGCTATAATTAGATATCCACCATACTTATTAACACTTATCAAAGTATTATTTTGAGTGATACTCAGTATTATTGATTACTTTAGATTTACGTTCGATTGTAGTTTACACTTGTTTTTAAGCACAGGATTATGACGTTGGTCGAGGTACTGAGTATTCAATTACTAATTTACAAGCTTGAATCCTAATGCATCACCTATTTCTTTATATATGACTCACAATTTAGTAAGCTAACCAATTCTAAAAATTGAAGTAGAAATTTGAGTTTTACAAGCTTGGACTTACACCAAAAAGACAAATGAGTCATAAAAAAAGTGACCGTGACCATTTTATTTTTATTATTATGGTCGGAAAAGAATCGCATGTATGGCAAGTAGTATTAGTGTGGTTTACGAGAATTCTATTGTAATGCAAATGTAACCCAGTGTATTATATGCATACAGTACTTAGAATTTTGCCGTCTACTTAGTAAGATATTGACCGGTTAGTTACTTTCGCTAAATAGTTTTAGGAAGTACTGAAGATACGATGTGCACTTTGCTTGATGCTGATGGTAGACTCATAAGTATAGAAATAGGCATTTCGGTCGTTATCCAATTGTTACATGAGAGGATATAACTTTAACCACAGAATGATTGTCATTCAAAGACGAAAAAATCTGAACACTTGGACTAGAAAATGAGATTCATATCGATCACATACGTATGCAGCCCGCATATGGTTATGGTCAGATGAAATAACGGATAGGCCTGGAAAATTAGGTGCCTAGACCAGAGCTATAACTTTAAAATGAGTACACTAAATGTATCATGAGCCACTTAACATTTAGCTGACTAACATCTACAGACAGTCAACTGACTACTATGCTATTGTTCCTTGTTTTAAACAAAAGCTTCGGAAATAAGCAAATATAATGGATACTTACCAACTTCGACTAGTGCTCCACTCTCCTCAGCAATCTGATAAACTCTAAACCATATACGATCATTGAAGTTAACAAACGTAAATGTCTTGTCTATATATGGCTGAGAACGTGGATGATGATTTGGAGTACCAAGAGTTTGTATAAACAATTCACGAATCAAGTTCATGTGAGGTTTGTCAGACTCTTCGAAAGACGGATCGAAAGCAAGCACAGGGCGACTGCTTTTTAAACAATTTCCTGTTAACTTTAATTCTGCAGTAGTACGAATATTTTCAACAAGAAATTTAACTGATGGACCATTGGGTACACAACTAAGCCACAAGTATAGGTCTTTTTTCTTGCGAGCCTCGAAATAAATAACCTGGGAGTAGGATAGCAAAATATCTATAAGCATCCGAAATAAGATTAGGATTAAAAACAAGGGATCGATTACAAACAAGTTGATGTATGGATAAAAATACAATATGCTCAGCTAGTTCACCAGTTATTATCCAGATCTGCAAAGTGATGCTAGAAGGTTACACTGATAATCTTGGGGAATTCATAATCGAATGCCAATATTAGTTGGACTAGTATAAACATATCAATGGTAATTATCGGCGGCTTTGGAGGAGTGATCAGATATTCGGCTATCGTTAAGGAAACAGCTGAGCCTCATTTTCGATGTGGACTTCAGTTAAGCTTATCATACAATAAATTCAGTCGAATGTAACAATTTCACTAACAGATTACTTCTACGTGTCATGGTAATGCAAGGATATAATTGATAGAACTAGGTTAAGGGAAACAACTACAGGAAGCCTGAAATCTACTTTGAACAGATACCTTATTAGTGTTGCTCATTTCAGCTAGTTCGTTTAGTACCGTTATTCCTTTCTTGTGATCAAGTTTCGAATCTGTCTTTCCATGGGGCATCATGTGTAATAGATCTTTCAACAAATGTCGGCCTATGTAGGAAACGCCTCTCGACGACATAATGAGGACACGCTCTCTATTTGTCCACTGTGGCTTACGTGCAGGAGGCTGGTCGGATAATCTAATTGACGGTAATAGTTTGGCTAAAGAAATCATGAAAATGAAGCAGAATTTACGCTTTTTGGTTGACACCTTCGGCTTAGAGCCATCATTTAACTTTCTTTTGAGACCTATGAAATACCAATAAGTCGTGATTTCCGGGAACTTACCATGAAATTTCTTCACAGACTTCTCTCCCATTTTGCTCACTGTAACGTAAGTAACTGAATATATTCCCAGTCATCAAGGTCGTTTAGTTTTCAGTAGTAAGGATAGGAGGTCTATTGACCTATATTAATAATTGTAGTTTGTAACACTGTAAAGATCCAATCTAGTTCTGAATATATCAACAGAAGGTGTTGATATTACGTGTTCTGGCAGAGACTTCTAATAATTCACTACTCGGTGCGAGGAATAAGACTCGAGACGTGGACGATTTGATCTCAGTTTTTGAAATTTCTTCTAATATCCTCTCAAATGATCAGTCCAGAAGGGAAGAAAAAGATCAACATATTAATACCAAGGTCATAATTCAGTATATGGTAAGCCAATATTAGATCACCCTGTATTTTACAGTAAGATAACTGAAATAAGTTGAGGTGTCTCACTCTACCTTCATAAAATAGGCCAGAGGGACCTTTTACCATTTTAGTCCCTCGTCGTTGGACTCATTCCAACATATCTGCCTCATACTTGAAACAAGGATTAGCTGCTTGAATCTCATATTCCAAATGCGGTCTTACGAAAGTCGCGTATAATAATCTAAACACGTCGTCATCCAAAGATTGAAGAGACCATTCAAAACCTACGAGTTGTACAATTGCTGACATCACTGGCCATCATTTACCGATTATTAGTATAATTATTATTCCTTTGATGTAAGAAGAGTGTAGTTGTGTCAATATTTCTTTCATAGCCGGTGAGGATGGTTCTTTCGTGCTTGTATGCTAATCCTAATTTAATCAAAGATCTAGTCTTACACTAAATGATGGTTGTGAGAAGTATGAAAATTCACCCAGTACACTTAGAAGCTAAGGATGAAATCGTCTTACTGAAGCGTAGATTAATTCCATGTGGTTTAAGAGAGGCTGAAAAGCTAAGTTAAATGTAATGGTTGGAAAAGGCATAATAATCTCAGTTGAGTCGTTAAGTTGAGCTACTCCAACTGTTACTCCGTCAAAAAGGAATGGAAAAACACCCAAAATCTGTAGTGATTGACACTAAATATCTGGCTGTTTCAGTCGTACCACCTAAGAAACTGAAGATATTCCATACAGATTTAAAAGGTCAAGGTTTAAGATGCCACAGGTATTCGGAGTTTGACAACGCTTTAACCAGTAACACCTAATATGAATCTTACCCACCAAGTGAAATCAAAAGACAGAAGCGAGGAGGTTCGAAGATATATTTGATAAGCTATCAATATGTCGAGGATCGTCTGATCTACTCTGTCTAGCGATTGAAGGGGTTGTTGAGCACGGCGTTCTCACTCGTGATCTGGTATGGATGAGTGACCAAGCACCTTCAGCTAGGTGAGCCCATTAAAACTAATGTGGTCAGCATCCAATGTCGAAAACTCACAGAGCTATTTATTTTGGGGAGTTAATTACCGCTGCAAGGTATTTGCTGGTTGCATTGGATGAAGTCTCTGGTGAACGAACTAGAATTGCACCACTTAGGCCATTTAGAGACGAATTCCTACCGTTCAGAATAAATGTTTCCCCTTCGACATTTCAGCCGGCCTTTATGGTTGTGAATCGTATCACTACGATATCGTAGTTCGTTCTTGAAAAATACAGTTCCATAACGAGCATCTGTTAAATTTATTTAAACATTTGTAATACAAACACGGCCGCAACTGGACTCATTTCAGTTCCAATTTAATTTAATCAGTTATCTGGGGTATTTTGTAGATGCTAGAGGTTTTAAACCTGATAAGAGTCAATTAACTCCATTATTCTAAGCACCAGCGTCTGCAAATACTTTAGTACTCAGATAACGAATTAATGCTTTTAGCTTTTATTACAAGTTTGTTCCTAACTTTACGAAAGTATTATCTCCTATTTCGACTTGGTTTCTAGTAGAATGTTTTTATACGAACAAAAACATGAGAATATACTAGATAGCGCTCTATGGTTTTTCGAAGGTGAGGCTTTCCTCGTACTTTTTTATCCGGTCGAAAAGTCTACCCTTACTGCTTATGCATCTCCTTTGGGGTTAGGTGCGGTTTCTGCACAAAATGAGAAACCTATTATTTTTCGAAACGATTAATTAAGTATGAATAGCGATATTCCCGGGCCCAAAAGGACGCTTTATCTGCGATATGAGTAGTTAAATGACTGTATATATACTTGTCAGGTGTGAAATTCTATATTGTAGCCGATTTTCAGGCGTTAAATTTTATTTGCGATCCAACTAAGTCATTTCAACTGTCATCTGCTACCATGGGTCAGGAATAGAATTTAGAGCTGAGTGTTTACGATTTCACGACTGAGCACCGAGTAGCTAAATACATGCCACATTCAAGTTTTCTATTATGCCACTCATAGTTTGAAAGACCACCTAACGAAAGTGGTTGTATGTTGATTCAACCAATACATGTTGATATCTCAAATCCTGTAAAGGATACCCGTAAATACTTTGGGGCCGCCATAGTTGTAATGAAAATATCTTAAAGTATTTAGTGCAAGCATAGATTTCATGAGTTTTACAAAAACATAAACGATATATCAACACATCCTGTAGGGTTTTCGTGCTTCAACGGTAGAATAATAATTCCCGCACATTCAGATCTGCAGTACTAGATGACCTTCATTCTGCCCATCTGGAAGCAGTAAAAATGAGATCACTTGCTTTTCAAACTTGTTATTAGATTGAGATTGACTCTGATGTAGGTCGAAAATCGAAAAACTGTCCTGCTTATTTACGTAAGCTGTCAAACACTAAACCTATTTTGTTTGTATTTTATGAACTATGATAACATATTCATATAAACTAACGTGGCCCATTTTTAACATCATATTGCGCCTTTGTTATTATTGATTCATATACATACATATAATACATTATAGACGCATAGACCGAAAATAAACGTGTGGCAATTAACCAATGCATTTACTGTAAAGTTAAATAATTTTTTTGTTGTGTTTAGGCGTATCATAATAATACATTCCAATCTCATGCTGCGTTCTTTGAATTCAAGTCTTTGATTTTGTCTTGCCGAAATTATAAAATATTAGGAATGGTTCTATTTCGCTGCATTATTTAAAATTCACAGGATAACAACAAAATATATTGCTAGATATCAAATATATAAAATGCAGATCATTTTTGGTTTAGTGTGCAAAGTAGATTTCAATTTCAAAGTCTCAAAATATTCTTGGAATACTGCTTGTATAAGACGGAGTACAAACGTGGCCAGTCGTTTATGAACTTTTCCATTATACAAAATCATTGCACTTTAGTTTTTTCTGAGTGAAAATAAATGTGATAGATAACTCCCTTAATTAAATAAATCTATAGTGATGAGACATTGATGGTGTTCTATCTTCTTTTAGCAGACACTGTAAAGTGAAGTTACTTAGTCAAGGTTTTTCGATATAACACATTACAAATCGACTAAAGTTACATGTCCCTAGTTTGGGTTCCTTCTATCTATATCTACGATAAGATGTAGCACTTCAAGACTTAAACTCCTTTACTTACTCACGTCTGTTTCTGCTCGTGGAGAAGCATAGGCCGCCCACCAGCACTCTCTATCCAACCCCGTCCATACACCGTATTTATCTTGGCTGTATTATTTTTAGAGTGCCTGAAGATCCAATTTTATCACATGAAGAGTGACTTTACAGGGATTGAAGCCAATAAACGCTGTATGGGGTTAAAATAATATACCGTTCACATAAATGTCTTCTCCCCAAGCTTTCTGTAAAAATGGGGTTGGAGAAATGAATTAAACCAGGCCAATCTATATGTAGTAAATATAGGACATAAAAATATCATTATCAAGTGATATATTCTTCAAGTGAATGTGGGTTAGTAGGAAAATGGTTAGCATATTAGGAAGTGAATATGAACCATCTGTCAGATGGAATATTAAAATAACGAAATAACAAGCAATTTTTAAATGCCTTCAAATCAAATACTTGATGCTGTATCTTTCACACTTAAGCTGTTGAAGAAAGCCAAATATAGTCAATAATGCACACTTTTACGAATGCTGTAATTTGTTTAAATTAATCGAGAGTACATCTTTTGTCAACCTTGATCCGGAACCCATTTTCAAGCTATGTAATCCATTATGACGTGTAAAGAAAAGCCATCGAAAAGTATTTTAAAAGCTGATCATGAGAAAGCAAGTGAGTCAACTTCTTGATTTTTGTGGGATGCAGTTTTGGGTGTCGAAGTTTTAAATCACACATCATAATAACAAGTTTATCTTTTTTTACTCAATATATCACTAAAAAACAAATAAAATTTTTCATCATTTAAGTATTTGGGGTGGATATTTTATTCTTTATTGCTTTTTGATTATATTATGTCAATCCACTGACGAGATCATTCATTGATAAGTTGTGTATGTACGATTAAGTCAGATGGAATACAATTTATTATTTACTACATATATAGTAATCAAACTTCTTTATGCATTACATTTTAACTTTTGGAGAAGGACGTTTTAAAGTTAACATTTATTTGTTTGTGGAAACGCTTTTCTGTGATGTTGCCTTAACTATACTGCAAGCTACTAAAGCTGTTGTATTTTACAAATGTCAAAAAAATAATAGAAAGATTACGTTTGGTGCACAAGAATAAACATCGTTCGGCGTTGAGTCAAACTCAGAGTGGTAATTAGTTTTTAGTGGCCTGGAGATTCGACTCCAGATTGATCGTTTCCAATTGTTATTGAAATATGATCATCACCAATCCTCGCTACGTAAATTGTATTAGTGGATAACTGGAGAGTCTCTCTTGAATACATATGTTTTATGCAATCATTAATCCCGGCAGACAACCAAAAAATTGAAGTAAAGAAAGTGAAGAGGAGAGAACATGGCGAAAGGTGCCTGAAAACGCACTATAAAAGTGGCATGTTTGGGGAAGATTGTTAATGTTAGCTTTTAATCACATGAGCATAGACTTTTCTAAAATTGGTAGCACAGTATAGAACCCGAACACACTAAGTTAGCATGGGTACAATTTCGTAAACAGCTCGAAATGAATCGCTCGCAACGTATGTTATTGGTGTTAATAAACCCTAAAACACGGTGTAGTTGCATAGACTTTAGTGCGTTAGAATGATTTTTTAACTAGTCACTGGCACAATAATATTTAAAGTTTATTCACAGGTAAATCCTCAAATGTTTAATCCTATCTGAATATTTGTATAAGAAAAAAATGATCGTCTAATACACGATATGCACAGAACAAACTGAAGTCAGGAGTGTATACCATCGGATCCTATATCAGAAGTATGAGGGTTGTGGGCTTACTGCGATCCATGAAGATCCTAAGTTTGATTTCTGTTGGGACTGTAGCTTCGCATTGCTGGGTAGTTCCATGCTATGACTAAATAGCTGAAGTTGATTGGTGGTGTAAAAGTACGAAAACAAAAGGTTTAAAGGTGCGTTTTATCTGATGTAACGTAACACTCACTATAATTAAGCCAATTTATTTGAGCTTATGATGCGTTAAAAAAGTGAAGCACTTTGTAACGAGGACTTTTTCTTTTCTTCATATTAATAATGAAACATTGTAATAGTTTAAATTCACTATCTTTGGTCGTTTGATGTGTTGATTTTTCCTTCGTTTTAAGACAGTTAGTTAACTGATTGGTATTTTTTCCGACAGTTTATTTATTTCGCACTCAGCTTTTATGTTCTTATATCAGACTGTGTTTATTTATTATTACCATTAGTTTTTGTACCTTGAACTGATACCTGTGTCGCTGTTGTAAACCTTTGATGATTATTCAAGCTTACGGTTGTTGTCATGAGGAAATTAACTGTTACATGAATTTAGTATATTATTAATGTGTCTAGTTCAGTGTTTGCAAAAATTGTACACAAGTATGGCCATAATTCTGAGTAGTTCCACTAATTAAAGCTGGATATTGGCTAGGAATGGAATACAGGATGCGTATTTTGTTCTATTAGGGATCTGTTCGCTGGATATACCGACATCTCATTGTTTATATTTCAAAACCAAGACGTGAAACCAGTACCTGTCTTTTTAAACGCTTAACACATTACTGAGTAAGGCAATGAGTCCAAATAGCTACCAGATTCTGCAATCGTTCTCAATCCTATCCGTAAGAGTGAATAAAACAATAGTCACTTGAAGCAAAAGATAATGAGCCAAAGTTTTGGCCCGAATATTAACAGTGTGATGTGCGTACATACAGCTAACGTGTCCCAAATGGAAAGAAAGAGAAACCCTGATCTCAAATACTATACACGGTCTCATTCGCCGAGGAAAAACCTGTAACTAAATGGCAATAATCAGGCATTTTGTTCAGAAAACATGCATGCCAAAAGAGACTGATCAATAATAGCGAAATACAAATCCTTACAAGTAGATTAACAATCCATTTAGGCCAAAAATGTAAACGTTTCACCAGATTATCATTAAATTAATTGAATTTTTGTATTCAAGTTTTAATTCATTTTAATATTCAAGTAATGGCTAATGGATTTTAAAAAAGTGGTTTCTTATCTAAAGGTATTGCACTTAATATAAAACACATTTATATTAGTGAGAATATTTATATGATCTGTCACATATTTTGTCACAGTTTTTACTTGGTTTGATTTTGATATTATGATTATTTCTCTTACTATTGAAGTTGCTATATTCTGACAACGAAAATGAAAAGTAATTTTTTAAAGAAAAACCATTTCTTGTTTTATTTATTTACATAATGAATAATTTGTCTTCATAAATGTGAACACTTTCTCACTGGACATTATATATTTATTAAGGCTTTGTAAAAAAGAACTTGTCATTAGAACTGAAAGTTCACTATGTAGACATCATTTTGCTTTTAAATGAAATAATATATATTATTTTCGGGACAAATTCAATAACCTATCCAGTAAAATGTGTTCTACGTGTAGAGGAAGTTAATAAAAATTTTGAAGAAAAGTATAATCCAAGTGAATCGATCTGTTTGCGTGAAATGCCATAGTGTTTAATCAGTATTAACTAAATGGATAAATTATTGATATAAGTGGTTGGGTGCTAGTTTTATTGTTTAAAGTTAATGTGCACGTCACTAAGTCTGAAGAATCTGGGTATGATTCATTATCAAATCGTCAATGAATGTCGCTAGAGAGTGCCATATTAAGGTGACACCGCTATCCATTTTTGTTTCCTTTTCAATAATTATCCGGATAAAACTCTGACTAATATCTGTTATCAGACTATGATCAATTGGCTAAATAATAATTTGTTTGGAATAATTGTCAAATTTGAATCAATTCAATCCTTAGTACGACTGAAAATGTAACGTTCCAAGATAGTTTATTCTGGTATAAAACAGACTAGCTGCCAATTTCAATTATTATACACTTATAAAACCTACTTCAATATGCACAATGACAATATGATAAAACCTTCTTTTATTTTTATACCCAGGTAAACTTAATTTCATTATATATATATATAACTCGGAAAATTTCAGGTTAAGTTACTGTAGACATTCTCTTATATGCCGTCAAATGGAAGATAAATATACAGGAATGAATAATTCGGTGTTTATCTACTAGTCTACTCGCTCTTGTGGATTTATATACTAACTTATTCTTGGACCACATTTTTGTCACACTCCGTGGAATTTACCTGAGTGGTTGACATAAGTAATTGGTACCACTAATTCTGAAACATGAAACAGAAACTGAGCGTTCAGTCTCTGACTCACAATTAAATAATATTTAGAAAATTCAATCAAAGATACTGGAAAGCGTGGTCTTCAACCTACTTTACATTGAAGCAGCCTTGGCTGTCCATAATTTAAAACCTGGTTTATCTAGGGTAACAACAATTTGTTAAATGTCTTTATTTTTATCATAGTCTTAGTTTGTGGTTTTCATTTGTTTATTTAAATATTCACCCCCTTTTTTCTTCCTACTCCCTCGCATGTAAAATAGTTTTAATTCATTCTAATTAACTATCACTATCAATTATTTTTGTAAGATTGTTCCAATCCAGTGTTATTGATTGTCCTTTATACATCTTTATCTTAACTTTGCGATATTGTCAGTTACCTTTTCACCTCATCGATTGTATATTTCTTATTTTTCGTAAATTATCTCCTTCAATAACTGTTTGTTTACCTAAAACGATATCGTCAAATTACATATGATTAATCAACTTCTAACAGATAAATAATTACACTCAGTAAACGGAGATTTGTGGTGATTGTAAAGTTTTCATAAATTTTAAACTGCACACTGATCTTAGTTAAATCCGCATTGAAAACTTTTATCCACTGGATGTTCATTTCATCCTAGTATGGAGGTTCTCATTTATGGATATCCAAGAATCTGAGACTGGTAATCGAACTCAGGATCTTCAGTCTCATATATGTATTCCTAACATTCAGAGTACTGAACTGCCACCCAGTGGTATAGATGCCTTACGTCAATTAATTCACAATATTTCTCAACCTTTATTCATACCAGAACGAGACGATCATTCGGTGCTTACAAGTTTTCAATGATGGTTTTATTGAATACAATTGTTGATAAGATATTCTGTCCTTTATAGATGAATCATTCTTAAAAATCTATTGAATATTAATCTTTTTTTTATTGAGTACATTTCATTCTACTACTGATTAAACAAAAATTTGAGCTGTGATACTACCCGCGTGCCCAGACCAAAGCAGGTGGTTTACTTAGGGGGCCACACTCGGAGCCTTTAACATAAGGGTCTGAACCACAAGGCAGTGGAGCAATGTAAGGAGATGCAGTCCCATGCTAGCCAGTGACCAACAATTGGTTCATACGACATTAATTCATTCTTGATACTGGGGCCCATGTGCACCATTGATTTTGAATCAGGGTTTTCCAATTCCCCTAGATGGACTCTCCATGTCCACCGGCCTGGTTAAATCGCCGGACATTCACTTTTCGTTCTCTCAATTTCGTAAAGGACAGCAATGTTGGGAGAAGGCAGTGAGTAGGACTTCCCTGGCAGTGGTTGTATGCACGTGACCATATGAGAGCATTTCGAGAGGCAGGGCTCACTCTCCTCACTCTCGGCCGTACCAGGGCATATATATATATATATATATATATATATATATATATATATATATATATATATCCCCGTATTTGTTGTTCACTTAAAGTCAGTA